TGTATAATGTTATAAGTGTATAAAGTTGCTTGTTTATAAGCAATCACTTGTCTGTATGCATGCACACGATGATAAACAAACTTTTTAATATTTTTATGACTAGGCCTAATTGAGGCTGTTTCATCTGTATTGGGAAGGTTATGTGATGTGTGTTGCTCACTAGATCTTTATAGATCATGTTTCTGCTAGTAACTTGGTGGTTTGCTTGACATTGCTGGTCATGTGATGTCAACATGAGGGGGCGACCTTCTCCATGTAGCATAAAACCGCATTTTCTGGGAGAGTAAATGCATCTCATGTAAGTGTACATCGTTTAATATTTTTCAAAAATGCTATTAATTTCTTTGTGCAAATGTTTTGAGTTACCAAAAACTATTGAGTCCACCATTTAAGTGCGTTTAAAAAGTACATATACATAAAAAATTAAGGACGCCCATTTTCGCATCAGTATTTTTTAAGGTAGCCTAATAGCAAATTTTTCATTTTAATTAATATTAATTAATTTATCACCCCCCTCAGAATTCTGAGATTGCTAGGGAAAAAAATGTGTGAGATTAAAAAGTAGCTTTATTTATGTATGCATTTATTTCCCCAGTGGTTAAGCAAGCTTCCATAAAAATGCAGTGCACCTAAATATGAAATTATCTGCACATGAACTTTGAGTCTACACTTTAAGGAATTTTAATACCAAGCTCTAAATGTTTAGAACCAACCGAGTGTTTGAGGAATATCAATGCAGCAATTCAAAAACAGGTTCTTGTCTGTCTGGTTTGAGGAAAGTGTTAGAATTCCCTGTCTGCAGCAGAGATGCAATGGTTTTAACCTGCCTTGTGCAGGATTATGAATGATGTGCTCTCTCTCCTCTCTCTCTCCTCTGATTGGTCAGAGTCAGTCTATAAAGCATTTGCTCCAACTACTGCTGTCAGCGCGCGCTGTGGACACGACTGGAGACATGCGCTCGTGGGTTCGCATGATGCTGTGGTTGTCATCTTTTACAACTGTGAGTACGCACAACCTCATGTATTTATTCACCCATTTACAGTTATAGAATGCACTTCTTCATCTTCATAACTAGGACAGACTTTTAATCTGTTGTTTGTGGTCTAGCAGGCTAATTATATTATTTAACGCGTTAAGATTGAAGACTGACTAACTTTTTTAGTATTGTTTTGCTAAATATTATTTTGTTCTCTGTGAGAATATGATCGCAATCAGTGTGGTCTTAATTCATCATAGTGCACGTTTGCTCACTAGATGATGTGCTGCTTCAAAGGTGGAGTAAGTGTTGTTTTTTTCTCACCTGTTTCACTAAACTTTGAAAAAGAGAATACCTGGGCAATCAAAAAGACTCTTTGCCTGTCAATCATTTTACATGCTGGAGTTTTATGTCAGCAGGTCGTCTCATTTATCTTTGGAGGGCGAGGTTTTCAGCGGATTAAAAATAAATAAATAAATAAATTGTGTGAATTAGGCTATTTAGTTAAATTAGTATACAAGTGTCCCGTACTGCATAGTACTTTCTGCTGCTTACTATTGTAGTCGAAAATCATTTCCAGTGCAGTATTCTTTTTAGTCTTATAGGTCTAGGGAAGCTTGACATTTCTGTCAGTATCTTGGCGTTCTTTTAAGCCATTGCGTTCAAAATGTGATTCAAACTAGTTAGAAGTGTACGCTATTAAATGGCATGGCTGTTATCTTTGCAGCACAAACAGAAAATGCATAGTTTGGTTTCAAACACAAAGAGTGAAATGTTACAATTCACCCCGTCCAGGTTAGTTGTAACATACCCTGAGGTGAGATGTGACATTACCATATCCACCGGGGTGAGATGTAACATTATGCAACAAGGATTATGAAAAAAAAAAAAAA